GAGTGAGGTCTCTTGTGAGCTGCATTTTTTCTGTCCACGGCGCTTGGCCGTCTAACTATCTAACTACCCTGTCCGATCATTTTATGAACGCCTTTAGATCACTTACAGGGATACGAGTATAGTCCCGATCGATGCCGAAACCTAACCAAAGCATGGCAGCCATATAAAAATGAGTCAAAACCCAACACTTTGGCCCCAACAATGCGGCGATGCATGCCATACAACCAACGAATCAATCAATTTATTGAGGAGACTTTAGGTGAACGCATTATTTTGAGTGGTCGGCCTGTGACTTGGCCTCCAAGATCATGCGATTTTACTTCGCTGGACTATCTTATGTGAGGTTATGTGCAGTCGCATGTCTTCGCTTCTTTATTACCGACGTACGGCACCAAGTGCTGCAGAAAGTGATCGAAAATTGGGCCTCTCGGCTGGGATTTATTTGAACCAAACGTGGAGAAATCAAGCCCTTATCTTTGTAATAAAGCTAAATTCTTGGCCAAAACATTGAATTGGAAACCGCATGTCTAAAAAAAGCACGCTTTATTTCTCTAGATTGAACTGAAAATTATTTCAATTTCGATTTTGGTAAACATCTTGCAAATACTTAATTATAAATATGAATAGAGATGTACATATATATATATATTTATTTACATTTTCCTTAATTACTTGGAATTAAGCATTGCGTTTGGATTTTGAATGTTGTTGTGAATTTTCCACTTGATTGCAGAAATATTCGACTGCATTGATTGCCCTTAAACGCTATTTATAGCCGAGCAAATTTAATTGTTTGCGTCAAAATTCGAATGCAGTTGATGGAGATTTTACATTTGCATAATGCATTTGTTGATCGACATATACACACAAACACACACACACACACACATAAGTGTAAGTGTAAATATTTCTTTGTTTTATAAGTATGTATGTAGATGTGTGTGTACATTGTTTATGCAAGTCTAATTAAGTTAATTTAAAATGTTTTGAGTAAATACATATTAAGGCGTAGACGAGGGGATTAACAAAAGTTCGGCAAGTTGACCAGAAAAACAAAAAAAAACATAAAAATTCTTTTTGTATTTATTCATAATCTTTGTCCTTTTTGTATCTTTTTTATATAATCGCCATCGATTTCAATGCATTTCTTAAGCCATTTTTAGATCCTCATCTGAAAACAGTCTTCAAAATCTTGTCTTTTTTCAGTTAATCAAGTTCAGCATTAACCGCATTCAATATCTCCTCGTCGCTATTAAAGACCTTTCCTCTTAATTTTTTTTAATTTTTGGATATAATCAGACATCACAAAGTGCTATATCCGGGGAATATGGTGCTGGACGTATTTCTTCGAACTCAGAGATCGCAATTGAATTAATCGTTATTTCGGCAGTGTGGGATGGCTCGTTTTCATGATGTAAAAAGTTGCGCCGCAAATCTACTTTCTATCTGTTTTCCAAGAAATTTTTTAAAACTTTTGGTAAGCACTTTTTGCTGTACCATTTTTCAGTTACCATCAGACCCTTTTCCGGTGAAATTGCAGCTACGATTTTATGCCGGATGAAGTAAACTGAGATCATTACTTTTTCTGCTGATTTTTGTTACTTAAATTTTACGGGTAGGTTTGCTACTATTGGGCTTCATACCATGGACTGATGATTGGTTTCTGGATCGTATTTATAGTACCAATGACTTTACTAAAGTTGTTAGACTGATACTTTTTCAATTTGTTTAGGAAAAATAGAGCAAAATGCACTCTCTCCTCTATCCGTCGTGCAGATTTCTTCGTGTATCCCTGATGATTGCTAAATATTCGCGATAAAGCCTTGGCATTCAAGGCCACTTCATTAGAAATCATTTCTTGTGTCAATCGTGGGTCTTCGTCAATTATGGACTTCACCAGAGCTACAGTGACGTCATTAGTGAAAAATTTTGGGCGCGCTTCTCGGGGCTCGTCCTCTACAGAGAAATATCGGGTCTGGAATTTTCGAAACCGCGTGGACGGTGCAATCGTTCCATATTTGTTTTGGCTGTAAATTCGGCCGAAACCCGAAGAGAATCACATGGCGAATTACTGTTTGAGTTGGTGGTGTAATTTCGTCTGTTCTATCCTCAGCTAATTTGCGTTTGCTCATCTGCATTTTCGCCGATCGTTTTAAAAATTTGAAAGGAATATTAATAAAGTAATTGCAAAGGATTTGGTATTTTGAGATTTAACAAAAACAAATTAAAGGCCAGATAACTATCCTGCAGGGAAAGATACTAGCTGTTAACTAGTGTCCAACTGGTTTGCATTTTTGCACTGACCTAAAACATCTTCCATCTATTTACCAAGTAGGCAAGGGATATTTTTAACATGGGCATTTCCTATGAACTATCAATTGTCCGATTAAGCATCAGCCTTATACTAGTTGTATACTAGTTCATTTACGAATGTTTAATTCGCCGACAGCTTATGGGAACCTCATGCGCTACATTGGCAATGGTGACCTGTTACGAAATACACTACCAATAGAGCACCATTTCAAACTCTCTAATTTTCGTTGCTACGAAAATTATTGGTTTTCGACAGTGCTTGAAAAAGAGCTGGTACGGTAACGATTGTGGCACTGCAGTGGAAAGAAAACAGACTTGCTGAAAACACGTGCGGGGTGGGATAAATCCCATTAGGTGAAGAGGGAAGCAAAACAAATTTGCGGAACAAAAAAAAAAAGAGAGCGAAATGAGTATAAAAAACTTGAGAAGCGACGACGAGGGTAATGCTTGAAAATTGTTTGAAAGGACGGCTTATAGAAGGTTTCAAGACCGGAGCACGCTCATGTTAGAATCCAGGCGATAATCTGCTGATGATGATGACGTTCTATTAGCCGACTACGACGGGGTTCGAAAAGCGATGGCTGGTTTATAGAACAACAAAGCGGATCGAACAGATGGATTATCGGCAAAGCTATTCAAATATGGCCGCAAAGTGCTCAAAAGGAGCATGTATCTGCTTCTTTGCAGAATATGGTCGGGCGAAAAAGAGTGACCCCATACTCTACGCCAATCATGGCGAGATAAGTCTCCTCAATATTGCATATAAGGTCCTATCGAGCGTATTATGTGAAAAAAGCTCATTGTCAGCAAAGAAGCGTCCTCTACACCATCATGTCTGAATTTGGTATCCCCAGAAAACTTCTACGACTATGTTAACTGACGTTGAGCAACAACAAAAGCTACGCCCGAATCGGCAAGAACCTTTCCGAGCCGGTCGGTATGAAACGAGGTTTCAGACAAGGTGGCTACTTATCATTTGACTTGTTTAATTTATTCTAATAATAAGAGCTGTTGAGATGAATACAGACGGTACAAATTTCTATTAGAGCATACCATTGCTGATGTACGCCGACGATATTGACATCATTGGCCTTAACAACCGTGCCGTGAATTCCGATTACTCCAGGCTGAATAAGAAATCGAAGGGCCTGGTAATGAACGAAGCCAAGACTACTAATTTGAGTTGGCACGAAGAACAAAGAGCTAACTGTGCAAGTCACTAATCCTTCCCGGTCGTTTCTAGTGATGAGTACTGTACGAGATATACGGCGGTATTGACATAGTCCAGCAAATCTAGGGATAACCGCCATGCTGACTATGCCATGCAGTCCGAATGGAAGAAAATACTTCAGCTTTGAGAGCGTACGATGCAGTTGTCGCCTTTGGAAGCAGAGGAAAAGTTGGAAGACCGCCACATTCTTGGAAAAATCAGATGCGGAAGGACGGAACTGCACTTCGTACTTCCTAATTGGTGTTAAACGGCGGAAATAAGGATGAATTGGTGCATTGATGTTAACTCGGCTATAATCGTGTAAGCAGTATATACGTCAGTAGAGAAGAAAAAGCTTCAAAGTGTTTGCTTAGGAACTTTATGACCATTCCAGTGGCTTTTTATAGCATAATCGGAAAAATTCGATCTTTATCTGGCGATCTGGGTCTTTAATAGAGTTAAGGATAAAGAACTACGAAATCGGCCTCACAAACAAATAAAACTTCTTTTATCAAAAGCGAGTTCTCTTGAAAAGATATTTTGGTTCACTCTGCACATGACGTCAAATGGTCTCATGGTCACTAAGTTTCTTCGGAATCTAAAAAAATTAAATACCGCAGTTAGCAGTAGTGTAACCTATAGCTCGCGCAATAAAGTTTAATTAATTATTGACACCAGAAATAACTGTACAACAAGCCACACAGAGTCCACTTTCAGCACCTATAATTAAATACAAATACATTTACCGTTATTATAGTTCAATAAATAATTAAACAATTAATTAACACATATTAAATGGTCACTGAATAATCGATCGCTCGCTAGTAATAAACAAAAGATAATTTAATATTTATTAACATTGATGCGGAGTGCGGGTGTGGGTGTTGGTGCCGCTATTATTTGAACGCGAAAACTGTCATTTCGGTTATTTTTTTTATTGTAATTCACGAGCTTTCCGCCTGCGTATGAATGTCTGTATATATGATGGTGATAAATGCGTACATATTTACACCAGTATATAATACGCTTGGTTTTTAACAGTACATTCATTGTTATGTACATACGACTTCAGAGCCACGCGCCACAAAGCTCCACCGTGAGACCACATAGACAGATTTGGGTTTTGTTTGGATGAGCGCCATAGCAGCTGTTGGACATTTAGGCAATAAGCGCAGCTAAACGAGAATACATCAAAGTATTATTACGTACAAAATGGCAGGGCTTAACGCTGTAGTGGGTGGAGGTTAACTGTAACTGATTAATTATTTTCCAGCTGGGGACTTTTGAACTTTTCTTGTGTCGTGGAGCATGTGTTTGATGAATAAAGATATATTTGTAGACGAAAACACAATCCCTATCTAAGCTCCAAATCATTAATATAGTTGTAAGCACTTTAGGTCTCCTTAAATTCGTTAAGCTCAGCTTGCCATTAATTGGCTGTGATTAAATTTTTATCTCTTCCTTTCTTTCTTTACAGCGAGGTTACAGAAGGTGCCTTACAAGTATGGCGTGCATTGCCCGAACGCATACGTCAGGATCCCAGTTTAGCATCGTTTCGCATGGAACATGAACGTCTGCATGGTGGTGAGTATATAAAGGGGGGGAAAAATAGTGACAAAAGAAAGACGAACATGATAAGTTAAGATATAAAATTTCTGTCAAAGAAGTAGTCTGATGTTTACAACACCTCTTGCCTTACAGAGTTTTATGTTTGCTTTTGTTAAGAAATTTGTTGCAGTCAGCTGAGGTGAGTTGAGTTGAGTTGAGTTGAGTTGACGTGGCTCTTAGTTAGTGACCAGCACATTTAAGGAAATATCGCTGTGAGTCTCCCATCTTATGCTTCTCAAATGTTCTAACCATGGCGTAAACTAGCTCAGCGAGATAGTCAAATTAATGCTACCCGAGTAATCTGTACAGTTGTCAAAGCTGGACAGTGACATAGCTAGTGTTCAATAGACTTTTCCTTTTCTTCGACACTATAGCTGCGTCAAAAATCATTAGAATGATAATTCATACTTTTTCCTTGAAGCCTTGTTAAAACTGGAGTACCGTTCAAAAGGATAAGATGTTGCGATCTTCTCATAGCCAATTTTGCCCACAGCTGTCTTGTATTTACTTCTCGGCAAATGCCAGTTTTAGCATATTATTTCCATGAACTAAGGTACACCTGGGTTCCTTCTCTTGCAAGCTCATCTGCCATACAATTGCCTATGATGTCTCTATTTCCGAGTACTCGGACCATAGGTGCTAACATTTAATCGAGAATTTATTTAGATTGCTTCGACATTTTACACCCAGCTTTATACGGTATTGTTATACAGTAGAGATCTGTTAGCTACTTGAATGTCAGAATATAATATATCGTCCTGCTTCCGTTGAATTTAACAGCCACTCCACCGCTTCACGACGTTCTGATGATCTCGTAGTCTCATGCACATAATATTTATTGAAAGCATCGGGGAGTGGATTCCACAGCACAATTTTTCATCGAATTTTGCGCCGTTTATAAAGTTTGCAGTGACTCCCTGCACATTCGGCTAAGCTTAAGGCTTAATGCCCAAAAATTTATTTAAGTAAATATATGTTTATACACCCAACTGGTCATCCAAACGCATCCCCGCCAACCGTCCGTTTCAACGTTTTAAACGAGAGTCACTTCATAGTGCAATGCAAGAACTACGTAGTTCGCCATTCTTAAGAGTAGAAGTAGTTTATAACATAAGACCCCTAACCTCCATATCTATTGATGTAGAAGGCACAGTTTCAGAACATGCTAACCATCACTTAGCTACTTAAAATTTTGAAGCTGGTAGTGTTATTCCACTTCTGAACTACCACTTCGGTACCACATCGACTGAATATCACCTTTATTTGTTCTCCCCATTTACTATGGAGCTCTGATACGCTTACATAGTTTACCATTCTAATGACTCCTTAACTCCTTGTCTAACGGTAAGGACGCCACTATTCTAAGAGTACCAACCGAATTTACTATGGAACAAATTAAAAGCATTAGAGATATTCCATTTCTGAGCACTGACTCCATAAAATTATCTAGATATCATTACAATTGGCGTTTTCTCACCACTACAACCCCCAAGTTTTTCCTTCATATTGTGGTTTTACGTCTTGAATGGCCAATGGTTTTCTATGAAAAACTTTGCCGAGGGATAATTTTGGATATTGCTTGAACTAAGACTTCAATGCTGGCCTTACGTATGGCAGTAGGGAGTGCTAACCACTCGCCTAATTCGGCCGCAATATCAGTTAAGTTTTTTAGATCTCTTCTTTATCTATCAGTACCTTTTCAAACCCGATAGGATCCAGATCCTGCACATCATTTTCTTTCCGCAATAAACTTTGAGCCGGTGAACTAATAGTGGGCAGCATTAAACAATGCTACATTTCTTAGTACCAGAAGTGAGTCATTCCACTTTTCATTTTACCGCTGGTAATATGTTTTTTTTTTGGAGGCCCCGATAGCCGAGTATTTAGCACTGCGCAATGGCATTCGGAAGGCTCGGGTTCAAAACCTGGTGTCGTACTAACATCCAAAAAAGTTATAGAAAATTAAATTAAATTAAAAATTAAGTTAAATTTTCTAATTGCGGTCGCCCCTCGGCAGGGAATTTCCACCCCTCCGAGTGTGTTTCTGACATGAAGTAAGAGCTTCTCATAAAAAAAACCATCGGCCGCTCGGAGGCGGCTTAGTTTAAACTGTAGGTCCCTCCATTTCGTTGGAAAAACATCAAGACGTAAAACTACAAATTGCCGAAGGAGCTCGGCCGAAAATCGCTATTGTATATAATATGTTTTTTTTTTGTCTGCAAATAATATTTACTCCCCCCGAAACATCCTTTGACGACCTCTAATTTTTTCCAGCAATTTTCATCAGCCGGAAACGTCGTCTGAACTTCCGCCAGCTTTGCTTTTGCTCTGAATACATAAATTTTATTAAGTATTGTTTTTTATTGCTTCGTCGCGTAATTCTATGAATGCGACTTTTATTTTTCTAAATATGAATATTTTATTAGTCTGTCGGAAGAACAAGTGCCTAGACGTGTGGCAAATAAGCGCCGAAAAAACATACATACATCCTCGTGTGAATATTAAATTAAGTTAGTGTATATTTACTCGTACATACGTATGTACATATGCATGTATGTTTGAGGAGCACCTCATTACTTATAAACGTTTACTGTTGTTGTTGCCATTTTATGGTTCATACAAAAGTCAATGTCAATTTCCAAATTACCATCCGGATGGACATCATGAACAGATACAAACAAACATATGCTTCCACATTGATATATTTATTTATACGCGCGTACTTATTTTTGGCACTCAAATGAATTCCATTTAGCCCACCGCATATACTCACTCGTATGCCATACAAACACCCGGCATACATATAGACATAATTTTTAGCTGACATTTTTATTTTACTCTCAATTACTTACCCTCGTAACGCGCAAATCGCTCCCCAATGATGGAATTTTTAAGCTCAACATGAAAGAAATTATTTTGGTCGCATAAAAATAGCTTCAAACGTCTGGCTCCTAACGACACAGTAATTTGCATTCATTATTTAACATTTACTGAATTTAATGGCTCACAATAAAATTATTTCTTAAATTACTTATGCTGTACGTATATTAGTATCATTGATAACTTACTTACTTAAGTGTTTAGTTATCAATGCTTAAGTTCGTTTTATGGAGTCCGGAAAGGTTGTCAAATTACTTAAATATAAACATTTGTGGAACAGTTTCCCACCTATTATTTACGGTATTAAACGAGGGACTTTCAGTTGCATATATTAAAGCTAGTATAGTATAATGCAGTCGATAAACAGGTTTGACAGCCAGGATGGTTTTGTTATGTGCTTAGGAAGGAATCATCTAGTAAGAGCTACTCCCCTATAGTAAAGTTTTTTATTTGAACTAATGATGTCAGCAATCGAACCGCCTGAAAAAAGCATTCGCCCAGAAGCATCCAACTTTGGGTAATTTGAGGGGACTTGGTTTTACCAAGACAACCGCAGACCACACACATCGAAAGTGTCTCGCCGAAAACTCCGAAAGCGTGGTCGGTAGGTTTGAATTCATCCACGATATATAGTTCGTACCTCACCCAAGTGTTTACTATGTATTCCTTTCTTTTCAAGAATACTCTGTGAAAATCTATTCTCTCAAATTTTTTGCCAATAGGGACGAGGGTTTCTATGAGAGAGGCATAATGATGTTGCCTTCAAAATAGCAAAAAGTTAACGAGCAAAATGGTGCATGGTGTACAAAGTCTTCAATTTAAAGCAAAATGGATCACTTGTTACTAGACCTAATATTATGTGCATATTCGACCCCTTTTATCCGATTTAAGACCGCGGTACTCTTTCATTTAAGACCGAGGTACTCTATCTACATGTAGTGCACGCCTTGATGTTTTTTCTCCGTACGGCTGAAACGTTTTATGTCGTCTTAGAAATGTAATTGGAGGTGTTGATATTAGCCATCAAGGATATTGATCTAGCCAGCCTTCAACGCCATGACCTAACGTTTATTAGCATACACTGGTAACCTCTCTACTACTGCAGCTGTAGTTTTATTCGATAGTTTTTTTTTTTTTTTACATATTTATCCATCCATCCATCAGTACTTAGAACGTATAAATTTATAATATTCACCTCCTATTATTCCACTTCTGAAGGATGTTAAACTTTCTGTTTTCTCCTATTCATCTCCTATTATTCCACTTCTGCCTTGGGCAGCTATACAACGATTCCGGCACGTTTTCCATGTTTCGTAACATTCTGGAACGCTTCGACTGGGATTTCCGCGAGTACTCTCGTCACTGCCGCCTGGATGTCCTAAATCGACTCAAAATAGGTTTCTTTGACCACCGATTTTACTCTAGGGAACAAGAAAAAGTCACAGGGTGACATATCGGGCGAATAAGGCGGTTGTTGCCACACAGCGATCACCTTAGAGGCCAAATACTGGCACACGCAGTGGGGGCGGTGTCGCACGGCGCGTTGTCGTGATGAAGGACACAATTACGAGCGATGTCTGGGCGCACCTTAGTGACTCGTTTTCGCAATCTTTTGAGTACTTGGCAATAGTAGACTTGATTTACGGTTTGCTCCGGCAGAAGGTATTCTTTGTGGACGATTCCACGGCTATCAAAAAAGGCAATAATCTTCATTTTCACCTTTGACTTGCTCATGCGAGCTTATTTCGGGCGGGGGGCGCGCGGAGACAACCATTGTGAACACTTGGGCACGACTAAGAGCACTATCACCATGCACTTTTACCAATTTTAGCATACGTTTCCGAAGCTGTTTCGCCCAATTAGGAACAAAATTTTATCGTGACGAGTTGCTCTTGAATTCGTTTTTCGTGACGAGCAGCGTGAACACAAGTTTACTCAACACGACACAGCAGGCGAACTAAACAAGCTGGAGCGATGGTAAATACATAAATGGAGAGGAGAAGGACGTCGGAAGAAGGGAAAGGGAATTTCAAGGTCCCATGGTTACCACAATCGCGGCATATAATCAGTCTCGTTACTTAAGTGTTACACCTCGTATGTTGCTTTCTGCTCCAATGTCTTGCGACTTTATATCTCATGCATATGTGCCTTCCAGTGACCTCTGCAAACATTATTTTATAAGCCTCACGAATACTAGATTTTACAGAATGTCGACAAACATTCATCATGGTTCACGACTGTGAAATCTTACCGTCCTTAGTGCCGCATAGGTTTTCCTCTCTCGTGCTTGCAAAGGTTGTTGTATTTTATTAAACCTTTCGAATGTTCTCCAAGTACGAGATGAAGCGAAACTATGGCTAGAAGAAAATTTCAAAATATTACTACTTCTCATGTTTAATCATACCTCACTAACGCCGTATGACAACTACAATACTAAGTCTATTTTTAATCTACTGTTGGAAGCGATCTCGAAGGATATTTAAGGCGTCTTTGTCAATCTTAAACATCCAAAAAAATCAATTAAATTAAATCACTCGTAATTTCACATTAATCATTATTTATTGACACTTCTTGAGCATTAAAATACAATTACAACGGATTTTTCGTTGGAATAAAAAAAATTCACTAGATTGTGACAAATGTATGCATCTCCGCCTAATCCATTTACATCGCAACTTCAAACCTTATTATTATTATTATGCAAACAAATTACATCTATAAATTCTCTATTCCAATTCTTTTCTGATAAACACATAAATAAGTGAGCGATAAACAAATTGCCGCAAAGTGTCACGTTTCAAATTCCACCCACAATCATTGACAAGTGGACGATATTACGTACTTGAGAGTGGAAAAAAGAACTTCGAAGTAAAAAAGAGGCAACTAAATGTGAAGTGATTTGGCGTACAAATCATTACAAAAAAAAAAAATGTTTTTGTCACATGACAGCTGAAAATATGGTAGAACAACAAGTAATCGCATATTTGGGTTATTTCATCTTCTTCTTGCAAAGCCAAATTCTTAGGCAGCCGACATGTGCACATGTCAATTTCCGGCTACTTTCGTTAGACCCACTTCAAGTAAAAAAATTAAATACAATAATTTCCTGTTTTCCAGAAAAGTACCCAGGAGTCTAAGTTTATTTACTCACCTCAAGAGGGAAGTATGTATTTTGCGGTTTACCGCTACACGTTTGCGGCTCCCCCCACCCGCGCCCTATATTGTTGTCTATTTTCTTTGTTTTTCTTGTTTTGCTTGTCTCGGTAAATAAAGGAAATTAATTAAATTGAGTGTAATATGTCTGTACGCGTGCATGTGTTTACCTGATATTATCAAAGAAATGGTGAGCATCAAATTTCAATTTCTTTATTTTCTGCTCTCCCTTCATAGATTTGGATCCATTGCCTTCGCCGGATGTGCCCGAACACTATGTTAAGACGCCGAATGCTTTCACTAAGGTTGGCATCAATGTGACCAATGAGTTGGGACAAGTGCGCATCCTGGAAGTTAGGTAAATATTTATTGCTGATTGAGTGTGTGGATTCAATAAATGGATTATGATTTTTATTTGACTTAGGGATATGGAAAACAATAATGAAGATCACCATGACGAACACGATGAGCCACGGTCGCGTAGGAGGGTAAGTTAAAGCAGTTTATTACGATTTTGTTTATGAAATGAAGTGTATATTAAATGAAAAGAAAGAAACTATTGTCTAACGCATAATGAATATTACAACTATATGTAAATGAATACTGGAACTTACAAGATTTTGTATTGATTTCAATTTTATTAGGGCTAAGAGTAGAAGTATACGAAGTAAACAAATTGTTCTAGCAGAGTACATGCTGAAGGGTAAAAGTTTGTGGAATTATTCCACATCTGAACATTGCAAAACGCATTGATTGCAACTTAATCTCTCATGTGCCTCAGCACAAAGCTGTTCGTACTTAGTTCAGGAAGGATGAAGTTATTTAGTTACACTTTTAAATATTCAGTCTAAATCGTTTGCTATTCTCATCGGTTGGAGTATCTCTCAAAAATGGAGAAGAATTCACAAAACGAATCAGAATTACCGGAAATCTTATTTAAATAAATTGTCTTCACCGTTTAAACTTAAACTAAACTTACAAAAAGCATTTAAAATAATTTTTAGTCGGAACCAAAGCACTATATGTGAAACATCACGTCGTTCCAATGATTCCCTCGTGAACTCAATCTTCGATCCGTTTGAGGTAATTTTCCTCCACTCTTTTGCACATATTGGAAGGCCATTACTTCTCTATTATTTGTTTTCAAGTGTTCAAGAGTTAAGTTCTTAACACTTAGTCCCACAAAAAAAAAAGTCCAACGGTATCAAATCACACGACCTCGGCGACCAATTGACATCGCCATGACGAGAGATTACGCGATTCGCTCGTGTTGTGTGGCGTGTGACACCGTTTTGTTAAAACTACATATTTTCCATACGACCATGACGCTCCGAATCGACAGTGACAGCCTCGTTTTCAAAGAAGTAAGCTCCAATCACACCACCGGACAAAAGAGTACACCATACAGTAAGTTATGTTTTGGTGTAATGGACTCTCTCCAATTATTTGAGTTTACTGGGAGGCCCAAAAGCAAAAATTTAATTTACTTTCGTATCCCTCGAGTGAGAAATGTGACTTGTCGCTGCTTATCGTTCAAGCATCCAATGGACGTATATACGGCGTCGTTGTGTGTGCTGGCCATACTGTGCCGTAGAAAGTTTCTGCCTTTGAGAACGTCGAGAAATAGACTCATTCGGTCCTCCGGTTTCACTTTCACTTATAAAAGCGGTATTTGAGGTGGAGCGAGCAAAACGATGATGAACCTTTGCATATCAAATACAATATCTATAACCCATGTAGTCTTTTGAAATTTCAAAAAAAAAATTTTATCAATTCAGTAGTTGGACGGTTATATATAATTGGCGCTTTGTAGCCGTTGGAGCGATGGTCGGCCGAGCTTCTCCTCCAATTTGTTTTGTGGTTTTGCATCTTGATCCTTTTCCAATAAAAGAAGGGACCTACAGATTACACTCAGTCGCCTCCAAACGGCTGATGGTTTTTTTTATGAGAAGCACTTACTTCACGTCAGAAACACACTCGGAGGGGTTGACATTCCCTGCTAAGAGGCGACCGCTCTATTGGATGATTATGTGGACTATAATCTTCTCTTAAGGCACGAAACGTGTCATATTTTAATCGACACTTTTTGTAATAAGTTTTAGCGATTTTATAGCGTTATACGATTGCTAGGCGATTCGTTTTCATAAATGCCTAACATTTAACTAGCACAAAACATGTTTAGTTTTGGAATTTAAAATTGACAGATGTCAAAATACAGCACTTTTAAAACCACAAAACTGAAATTTTAAGCGAAGATATCACAAACATTATGCCACTTCTGAACACACAATTTAGCACTGAATCCTTTGATCCTTGAATATGCGAAAATTTAAATCTTATTCCAATTTTATATGTAAATATTTGACCACAGTAGCTAAGTAGTTCTACTTATTAATGCTACGACATCCATATTCTTCTTCCGTGTTCTATTAGACCTTAAAAGAAAAAATTAAAAAAAAAAAAACATTAAAAAATACTCAGAAATCTTTCAAATATTACTAACCTTTCACAATTCCAATATCACCATTCCAGAAAATCCTTAAATGGTTCAAAATTTCAATACTCTTGGTTGTGTGGGCTGTATTTACTGCATTCCTGATGTCGAATAACGAACACGTCGATGAATTGAGACTGATCAGTGTTCCTAGAAGTGGCGAAGAGAAATGTAAGTTTATAAACTCCTAAAATTTGTATGTCAAATACTTACAATGCGCTGTTTATTACCAACTCACCTGCAGTGTTTCCCGCCACAACCGCCACTTTATCACGTCTCGGTCTCAAATTAAAAGGTCCTTTTCGCCAACAAGAAGCCGATCCGTTGGGTAAAAATAATAACACCTTTGCCGCACCACCAACGCTACATGTACAAGTGCAACGCAAATACTACAATGCCAGCGGTGATGAGTTCTACGTGGAGGACGCCTCCAAAGTATGGAAACTTGCCATTGTCTATCCAGAACAATTGGATACGACAAAGGAGTCGTGGAAGGCAAACAATTATGACATATCGCCAGTTGATGAAGAGCTCTTGCTCCAAGCCAATTATACTACATTAAATTTACGTTTTATCGCCAACATCGAGTCGGAGTTCCCACTACAGTTGTCTATCGATGAGTCGCCCATTTACAAGAAGGAGGGTGTCATTTATGCCGCGATAGTGCTGTGTGGCTTGTATATAATGATTATTTGGGAAATTGTCAATCGTACCTTTGCGGCAATGATTGCCTCGACACTGTCGGTTGGTATACTCGCCGCGCTGAACTCACGGCCCTCGATGGCGACCATAATGGGTTGGATTGATGTGGAAACTCTGCTGTTGTTGTTCGGTATGATGATACTGGTGGCTATACTCTCAGAGACTGGCATTTTCGATTACTTGGCTGTGTATGCTTATAAGGTGTGTAAGCTTAAAGGAGAGACAGATTTTTTTAATTTTATTTAATATTGTTTTTTTTTCTTTGTAATTTGCAGATAACTAACGGTCATGTTTGGCCACTCATCAATTGTCTGTGTCTATTCACGGCGATACTCTCCTCATTTTTGGACAACGTGACAACCGTGTTGCTGATGACGCCCGTCACTATACGCCTCTGTGAGGTTATGTCGCTGAATCCGGTGCCTATACTCATGTGCATGGTGATCTATTCGAATATTGGTGGCGCTCTAACGCCTGTGGGTGATCCACCAAATGTGATAATTGCTTCGAATAATTTCATTTCAAGAAATGTAAGTAGCTTAGCTCACGCACTCTCTCTCTCTCTCTCTCTCTCTCTCTCTTCTGCTCGGCTTGCTATAATTATATTATTTCCATTTCCATTCCACACAGGGTGTCAATTTTGCCATCTTCACGCTGCACATGCTGCCCGGCGTAATATTGGTTATGCTGCAAACCTATGTGCAGTTACGTTTTAAATTCCGTAATACAAACGATCTACAGTTCAAAGACTCACCCGAAGTGGAGGAGTTGCGTCACGAAATACACGTGTGGAAACGTGCCGCACAAAGTCTTTCCGCCTACTCGAAGGATGAGGAAATTGTGCGTCAAACGCTGATGAAAAAGGTGAATCGCTTGAAGCGCAGTCTGAAGAAACGCGTCTCAGAGGCGGTAGAGCCAGCGCCAAACTATAATCAAACACTGACGCAGCTGCAAGCGAAGGTTGGGAAAACGCATAATTTATAAGATAAATGAAAATCTAAATAATTGTAAACTCTTTCACACAGTACCCGATACGCAACAAGTCACTGCTGATCAAATGCTCCTTCGCTCTGGTCTTTGTCATCAGTTTATTTTTCCTACACTCAGTGCCAGAGCTGCAACGTCTCTCCCTAGGTTGGACTGCACTTTTGGGTGCGATATTCCTACTGATTTTGGCTGATATTGAGGATATGGAAGCGATATTGGCACGTGTCGAATGGTCAACATTGCTCTTCTTTGCCGCACTCTTTATTCTTATGGAAGCGCTTTCGGAACTCGGTCTGATCGAATGGATTGGCCAGATGACGGAGAGCATCATTTTGGGTGTGAGTGAAGGTTCGCGTCTCATGGTGGCTGTTTTAATTATACTTTGGGTGCGTATGATGGACTTTATTTTTTTTTTTAGTTAAACAGTCTGTTTAATTTTTTTTTAATTTCTCTATTTAGGTTTCGGCCATAACCTCTGCATTTGTTGATAATATTCCACTGACCACAATGATGGTAAAGATCACGATATCCTTGGCGGAAAACTCTGCATTGAATTTACCACTACAACCGCTAGTGTGGGCTTTGGCTTTGGGAGCTTGCTTGGGTGGTAAGTTATTGAGAAGTTCTCTTTTGTAATATTATTTGATTGTAACAGTTTCTTGTAAGCTGATTCGGAACGGCTGATGAATTTGTATGTGATAAATTCGTTTGTTTTATATCAGTAATAGGAGGGATTGATATTCCTGTCGAGGGTTAACTGAAATTAAAAAAAACTTTTTCTATATATTTTTATTTTTATTTTATTTTTATATTCAAACCCATGACTCTCGGCGTGTAATGATTAAAAAACTCCCTTGGGGATCAAGCAAAGTTAGGCGGTATCGTTGAGGTCATCTAAAAGGGGACCCAAGAAACGAACTGTTTCGTCGAGGTAGGATTTAGAAAAATAGGTTTTAGTTGGGATGTAAAGAGATGATTAATGTCGTACAGAGACTCATAGCACCAATGATATATGTATATATAGGACTTGAGTCTGTTACACTATTCAGAATTTATTTGTGCCTGGGTTTCTCCGTTCCGCGGGACAGCTCGACTCCTTTGTCTGCTGTGGGTGCTGGTCGAATTAAAAATTAATCAAGATGCTGACAGACTCGCTGTAAATGGCGTTTAGAGCTCGTCGATTGCTCTTTCTGTTCATCGATTCTATTATATTGTCTCAATGGAGACCGTGAAGTCAAGTACTCCCTTCCTGACACAAGGAGGTTTGCTATTATGGTCTTTAAGTTGGTTTCCTGCCAAGCGGGTTTGTACTTTAATACCGGTTCGTCATTATTAATCTTGGCATTCAATTCGAGTCGATTCTCCTTCGGGCAGTTGTAGCTGTCATCAGTTGGAAAGTGAAAAATATCGGAAAGACAGTGTTTGGCAAAGTTTATCAATATCATTGGCTGAGGCAAAAGTTTGAGCAGTCATTGGCAAGGAATTGTAGTGAAGTGATCTTCGATATGTAGAAATTAAACAATAATGGGGTGAAGCCATCACCCTGCGGAACTCATTGTTTAATTCTCCTGAGCTTGGATATGCAACCTAGGAATTCTGCCCATGATTGCCGACTACTACTGGTAATGAGGAGTCTTCAATGTCCTGTAATTTGTAGCACAGCTGGTTTACTGTGTCCAAAACATTTGTGTGGTTGAGGCTTAGTGGTGCTGAAAACTTTAAGGAAACCATACTGATGTGCGGCTAAACTCAAGTGAAGGTTGAAAAAGTGTGAAGTGTCTTCGCCACTGAGATTGATTGACTGATATCCCTATTTTCAGTAGGGTGGTTTTGAAGTCGTACGAGTAGAGTAAGAGTGAAAACCAGGGTATCAAATTAAACAAATGAGGATTAAGGCAGTAGGAAAGAATATCTACCAATGGCTTTAAAGTTATTAAAAATGCTCTATCTATACGATACAATTTTTCTACAACTGTGTCATCCCCTTCAAAGTAGTCCCTTTGGGCAGCTATACAACGATTCCAGCGCGTTTTCCAGGCTTCGTAACATTTCTGAAATGCTTCGACTGGGATTTCCGCGAGTACTCTCGTCACGGCCGCCTGGATGTCCTCAATCGACTCAAAGTGGGTTCCTTTGACCATCGATTTTTTTCATGGGGAACGATCCCCTTAGAGGTCAAATACTGGAACACGCTGAAGGCGGTGTGGCGCGACGCGTTGTTGTGATATAAAATCCAGTCACGAGCGGGAGAAGGGAATATAATCAGTCTCATTACTTAATTGTCACTCTTCGTATAGTTGGACCCTATCCGTCATTGACCGTCGTGTATATTTTACATGTTCAATAGGATTTTATATGAATAAATAGTAGACCCTCTTTCAATAAGATTAATAACACTTAGACTCTAGTTGTCAGGGATGCTTTCATGCTTCTTTTTATTAAAGAGTCGGTATTCGTACTTAGTATACATCTCTGAGGAAATCATAAAAGGAAATATATTGAAAGAGCGAATAATATACAAATCTTTCATATTCTCCGATCTCTTTCGCCTTAATTTAAAGTATGAGTTCCCTCTTTAGTGAAAGTGCTCGAAGTGAGAGCCCCTCGTGCTCTTAAAGACACTTAATATTGTTTATGTCAGTGTAACTTAGAAGTTTCTTATAACTTATTTCCACCTCCTTCTAACATATATTTTCGCAACATTTTCTGTATGAATTTATGAATGTAAAAAAAAATCTTTCTTTCACTCGCTCACCAGGTAATGGCACTCTAATTGGCGCTTCGGCAAATGTGGTTTGCGCCGGCGTTGCCGAGCAGCATGGCTACAAATTCACTTTTCTCGAATTCTTCAAGTAAGTTGTTGGCAATACTAAACTTCGTGCTCTGTCTTTCGGCACTCAGCAATTAATTAACACTCTCATTGAATTTATTCCTTACCACAGGGTCGGTTTTCCAGTTATGATCGGCAGCATTGTCGTATCCACCGCATATCTACTCTTCGTACATGTGCTCTTTGCTTGGCACTGAGTTGGGTGAGCGCGCAGGAGAGCAGACATTGGTTGTAGTATATACATATATACTAAAAAAATATATATATATAATATATATAAATAGGAAAGAAATATACATATTTGTATAAGAAAAACAAATACCTCGTGGAACTGGAAAGACATTTAAAGGAATTTACAACAAACGAAATAAAATACGAGCTTAGCTAACAAAAGTGAAATAAAACAACAACAAATGTGAGAATTTGCGTTAATTTCTTATACAATTTTGTTCTACGACTATTGAAATGCTTAACATTGTAGATATATGTATGTATGTATATTTCAGTGTTAGTTTATGTTTATAAAAAAAATAAAAATAAAAAAAAAACCAAAAAAAAAATAAATATTTTTTTGCATAAAAAAATTAAGCAAAAATTTTATTAGTAAAAATATTAATAAATTAATAGTCTATTCTAAATTTAAATTCGCGCAATGTAAAAAAATCCTTTTAATTCTGTTGAGAATTGCTAAATTTTCTAAAAAAAAAAACAAAAAAAAAAAATAAATAAAATAAAATCAATTTAGGGAAAATTAATTATTTAGGCATATAAAATATAAAATATTCAACGTTTTTTTATTTAATGTTTCTCTCTCTCTCCTTCGATTTAGTAAAAAAGTATAGTGAGTATACCACAAATATTTAAACCGTAAAATTGAATATCATTCTAAAGAAAGTAAACGAAAAATATTTGTAAGTGTAAAAAATAGAAATGAAAATTAATTAAAATTAAAATTAAACAAAAAAAAATTAAATATTTTTACACCTGTTGTTACTTTAGTCGTTAGTCCGTGTGAAGTCAGTGTAGTATGTAATGCGAATTGTATTGGTTTTTTTTTTGGGGCCCATTGGGCACCCTGCAACGAAAGCATTGGCGTACAGTGCGTATTGTACTGCTTAGGAGAGCAAGTAAAAGAAAAATTAAGTGTCGTAAAATAAAGCGAAGAATTAGTAAAGTGGCCATTTAATGAACAGAGCGCTGTAAATTTGTAATAATAATCAATAAGTATTATTTGTTTTATATTATTAATAATTAAAAATACTACTACTACATATATGTATGTATGTTTTGCTTATGCTTTTCAATTCTTTTAATTTTGATTTTGTTCTTCTCTTTAATATTTTTCTATCCCATTTTCAATTGAAATAAAAAAAAATATGTATTTCGAAAATTTACATACATACATATATGAAAATATACTTTAAAACGAACTACTAACACTACGATAAAAAAACATTTAGTTAGTGTATAATTAATATATATATATATATACATATTTTTTTTTTGGTTTAAGCAATATAATTTAAAAAATTAAATAATATTATTATCGACAAAATATTCAAATTATATACATATTTATGATAAATTGCAATTAACCGTTATTATTATGCCTTTTAAAAAAGATTTTCATTGTACATTGTAAACAAAACAAGAAAAAAATTAGCCTTGAAACTTGAATTATTTAGAAAAATATAAATTTATATATATTTAGTTTACAATCATTTATAACCTGATTGATTATATTAAAAATTATATTTAGCTATTTTATGTAAATACATTTAAGAGATATTGTTATTTATACATATAAATAAAAATAAATAAAATCAATTATATAAAAAAAAAATTAAAATAAACTATATTCATTTTGAAGAAATTGAATTTTCAAATTAAAAAAAATATATACATATATAGGACTATCCATTTCGAGCTTCCAAAAGTATATTACTGTATCTCGACACCTATAAAACGAAACTATCAGACGTTTTGTTTTATTCTAAAGTCATACAGTTATGAAAATGGATCGCTTAACAACCGCACAACACAAATTGGTATTCCTATTGTGTTATAAAAAAAGATTTGATTTAAACCTGACCACGTTTCGTACTTTAAGGGCTTAGAACGCTGAAAATTGCTTGATATTCGGTCAAGTGTTTTAGGTTGCCTTACGTATGAAATGTTTCAAGTACTTTTGAAATAGATCATAGTTACACAATTCTTGCAAAAAAAATTTACTTTCACTTTATTTGATACTGTTATGCAATAACAATTCGTATTTGTTTGTGGCACTTCTCGCTCGAAGAGTCTATTTTGTGAACACGATAGCGATCGCAGTTTTCATCTGAAACGTAAAAACGAATACTTTTTTTGTAGCCTAGGAGTTGCTCTTCTATGTGAACCTAAGCTATTCGAAGAAATGTATAAAATTATTTATTTTATGACTGTTTATAAAAAATTTTACGTTTTTCTAAAGAAATTTTTAATTGAAAAAAGTTAATAAAAAAAACCTTTTTTATTGTGATTTTTTAGGTTCACATAGAAGCCTACACTGTTAGCTGTAAAAAAGTATCACTTAAGAAAATGCGACAATTACAACTTTTTTAATCGTGTGCACAAAACAGAAAAACACCGCGCCCGCTTATCAGCCTCCTGAGCGCATTTTCTCTCAGAGGCCATTTCTGCGGAACGATTGGAATTTGACACTGAAAATTTGTGGAAATTTTTCTAATCGAATGAGATAAGTTTAAAAAATTCGATTTTTTTGACCCACAAAACCAGGTTCACCCTTTAAGGCGCAAAGCCACTCTAGAGGTTGCAAAATAGACGCATTTATTTAAATTAATTTTAGGAATATGGGAAAAGGAATAAAATTTATATTTAACCATATCATTGGGCAAATATTGAATTAAAAAAAAAATTCTTTAATTTTTATTTTGTTACAAAATGACGGTGACAAAGTCTATTATTTATGCCACGTTTTCTTGAAAGGCGTCCACGGAAGGACCGATTTCTGCTTAAGTACGAAACCTAGAACAGAAAAGCAAAATGTTTTATGTTCTACAAACTATGACCTTTGAAAGTTCGTACGGTTTTATTTTTTAACTTATTTTTGAGAAAGCGGTACACTTGTTTTTAAGAAGATTGATTTTTAACTAAAAAAATACGCACTAAATTATTAAAAAAAAAAGTTTGCAATTAATAGAAAAACGGCTACGTTACTTCAAAAAAATGTATTTGTGACGATCAAATTTCAGATAAATCGGTGCAATAGAACCCGAATAATCTAACCTCTCATTTTGAAAAAATTTTATTTTGAGAAAAACGCATTTAAAATGAAAAGTTCAGCTATTTGAAAAATTTTTTTCACTTTATAACCAAATGCATATTATTTCCAGCATCCAAAGGTGCCCTGTGTGCACAAAAAAAGTTGCGTTTTCCAAAATACTAGAGTGGCTTTACCCCTTCAGAGCAGATTATGGCGCATATAACTGTCCGACTACTCGAGCAATTGGTAAAATTCTGAGGAAATTGTAAGACCTTTGCATCATCGTGTTGATCGTTCCATTGAAATATCGTGAAACTGCAGCCGAAGACCCGAATGTGTCTATTTCTCGACGTTCCGTTACGTCATACTTCGGCACCTTTTTCACTTTGACTTACAACTATGCACATACATATAAATTCAGCTCACAAGACAACTGAAGCCAGGCAACTATTTACAACGCCGTGCATACGAGTACGTCGATGGGTACTTAAGCGATTTTTCGAACGATTTTTCTTCTTCTTATCGCATTTAAAGCTCTGAGAGTCCTCAAAGAATTAAAGAGAGGCCATTATACCAAAAAAAAAAAAAAATAGAGCACATAAAAAACCCCACAGTCTGGTGCGCTCTCTTATATTCGCAGGTGTGATTACTTTTTTGAAACCGACAACAGCAAGACAGTCTCTGTCAATTCTGGAGCGTTATGATCGTATGATAACCAACTTTTTATGGCCTGCATTTGAAGACTACAATATTTGGCTTCAACAAGTTGATACCACAAGCCCCACAACGGGTGCGAATATGGCTTTAGAGCGAAAGAAATTTCACGGCCGCGTTATCTCTCATATTGGAAATGTTATCTGCTGAGTGCCAAAAAGTGGTCGGTCAAAAATTACCTAAAAAGGATCGAAGTTTGCAAAAATTCGCGAGGCGGTCATTTGAATGATGAATTATTTCACATATAATTTAAAGCCAAACTTTATAATAAAATAGGATTTTCATTGAAAAAAAAAAAAATATTTTAAATTCATTTCATTTAGTATTATTCATGAAATCTCAAAATGGATAACCCTGTCTTATTTTTAATGGAAATTAAAAAAAATACGACAGGCACAGTTACAACCAAAATCTGTTCGGCAATTCAAGCGGTAATTATTATTTTTTTTCTTTTTCATTGACGTGATTATAGCGGATTATTTCTAACGAAGTAGAGGTCTTCTTCTTCTTCTAGTACCACTAGTGGATACTGCGTCTAATAATTTCAAATCTGCGGTGCTTTCATCCATTGTTATTGTAGCACACGCAAAACCATACCCCAATGTGATTTTTAGACGCTGCTTGGGGGGCATAAATATTCGTATTATTCCGTTATAAAGATCCGATTGCCGCGGGAACTAATGAATTTAAGCGATTCAGCTTAAGCGGTAATATACGTTAATGTCAAGCAGCTAATTCTACCATCGGCTTCAAAATTCCTAATCCCCCAAACGTAGAGGACTATAAATAAAACGCAAAATATTTCTCTCGAAGACGCCTAAAGCCAACTCATTAGATGTTATCATCGTCCATGCCGCCGCCTCACATAACGGGACAAAATTGATGCATGAATCGTTGAAGCCTCCTGAAGGTCTTTCACAATTCCTAGGAGGGCAGTTTTGACTTAGGTTTCCATCGTCGAGTAGCGGCTTTCACCGTTTTGATGTTTTTTTAACGAGCATTCGCCTTTTCAATTTCGTCTTATTTAGAAACGAAACGTCCATTTCATCTTCATCGATTGGGACATGGATTCAGCATCTTTGGATGACATATTTTCACTACCCTTTAGCATCATAGAGGGGAATTTCCTTCACAAACTCTACTAAATGAGTAAGCTCTAGGTCCTGAATTCTTTTGCTGCGCCAGAAAGTCGAGCCAGGACTTTTTCTGATCTTTAGTCGTTCACTTACACCGAGTTGACGAGGACTTATTTACTTCATCTTGATCCCAATGCATTTCTTGGGCAACGGTGGTGGTTGTCTTACGAGGCCATCAACCGGCTAAGCAGCGGCATCTTATCACAGTTGAGTGCTTTTGATGATGATCAATATTTAGGTCCTTACTGCATTTGCATTGTTCATCATCAAAAGTGAGAACTCTAATTCCAGGTTATGTAGTCCTTTTCGTCGGGGTGGTTTTTACATGGCGGATCTCAAGCTTAGTGTACAACCCCGCTGCGGCTTTAGGTTTCAAATAAGAACACATTTACACAACGAGCCGCCTCAAGACTGCTTACAGTAACATCTCGCTTCGAATCGAATACTGAGAAAGGATACTACTGAACCCTTAAATCCTACATGTTGGATTGACTTCACTAAAGCTCTTTTTTATTAACCCTGACCTAAAGCTCCACAGCGATCATTCACGTTTCCAAAGTGTGCGTCGAAGACCCTTAAGGAAGTGACTGTATTTGAAACCGTCCTCTTAAATAAAAGATATTAAATTCATTCAGCGCCACTTCAAACATTTATTTATCGGATTCTCTGCAGCAACTCTATGAGCTTCTTAAAAACTATAAATTGAGCTACTTTAAATACTAAAGATTTTGAATTTTTTTCTAAAATCGCACTTGTCCTACATTGATTTTATGATAAATCTCACTAGTCAGCAACTCATATCTACCCTTAGCCGTGCGATAATAAATTTCATCCTTAATCACATTGGGATTATACCCTTCACGCTGCAAGTCAACCTTACGCAATTTATATGTGCCCGTGATGTCCAATTTCGTGAGGAAGCGTATAAATTGTGGACGCGCATATGGCGGCACAACTTTAGACAATTCATATGCGAAACGCTCGAGATCCACTTGCCGCTCGGGATCATATATGGCAGCCATACCGGCACGCCCCTCTGTGTGAGGTATCGCCACACCATAGACGATTGTGTCCTTATACTGCGCCACATTGCTCACTTGCGCCTCCACCTCGCTAGTCGAGACATTTTCACCCTTCCAACGGTATGTGTCACCAGTACGATCCAAAAAGTAGAGATAACCACGTTCGTCAGACGTCAACAGATCACCGGATATAAATGCCATATCACCCTTTTTGAATACATTATGCGCCACCTTCTTCGCGGAAGCCTTCTCATCGGCATAACCGAGAAACTCACGTGACGGATTACCTTTGATGATTTTACCAATAAAAACGCCCGCCTCGCCCGGCGCACAACGCTGGCACAAGCCATCAACGCCACGTATCGGTTCGCCAGTATTGGGATCTGCTCTGATTATCGATATGGGATAGATTTGTGGGAAAATGCGTGAGATGAAGCCAATAGCGCCGACTGTATTATCGTTATTCATAATATTCGCATTGCCCTCAGTGGCGCCGTAGAACTCGCCGACTTTTGGTATATTGAAACGTTTGGTGAAACTACGCCAGATCAACGGACGCAAGCCATTGCCGAATATCATGCGCACCTTATGTCTGCGATCGTATTGTGTGGGTGACGTAGTCAAGATGTAGCGCGCCATTTCGCCAATATATTGCGCGATCTTTAGGTGTAAAGAAATGAGGGAAAGGTATCGATAAAGAAAACAATATATATATACATCGTTATATATGGAAAGTAAAATTGCAGTCTCTCTGTCTTACCGTGCATTTGAAGCGTACACAATCGGCGAAATATCCCGAGGCTGAGAATTTTTTCCGTATGGCTACAGTCGATCCAAAGAGCAATGCTTGCCCTATGCTCATTACCCCGCCGGCTGTGTGATAGAGCGGCAGTGGCGTGTAGTATATATCTTTATTTTTGAAGTTCAATGTATAATGTATGCCCGCGGCTATAAACATATATCTGTGAATGAAAGAAATTCTATTAGTAACCTCAAATTTATGTTGAGATCATAAAATGCTTCAAAGAACTGGGCAGATGTACCCATTATTGGATAAATATCCAACTGTAAAGACGAAATCCTAAAAAAGGGTTGGTCGGGAGCACAAAAAACATTTACGAGTGTGGTCTAGTATGAGCCTTACATGCTAAGATTGGGATATTCTACGACAGAGACTTCGGAAAAAGGCTAACTTATTTTCAGCCCGATATATGGACGTCTGTAAGTGCAGGCGGCCGCAGTGGATTACTGTCTGCTGCCAGTACTGAACTAATTAACAATCAAAAAAATAGATAAAAACTTCTGAATGAGATTGCTCCTAGGTACAAGATGTCAACCCCACAAATTGTATTCCTGACATGACAAAAAGAGAAAAATGTTCCATCATAAAAATTAGCTGCCTTGAAATGAGGCTGTAGATTTCTCAGAGAGAGATCTCAATAAGTCTATAGACTATAAGACCCTTTGTCACATTTTAAGATCTTTTTTAACTACCTATAAATCAGAAGAGCTATAGGAAGGAAGCATAGACATTTGAGGAATTAAGAGTTTTTTTGCTGCCGCACATTCCACTCTAAAAGTTATACCAATAGTCCTATGAAATTGAATGCGGAGTTCATCAACGAACCAATCTCAAAAGCTAATCTTAAATGAAATTTAAGACACTATAGAAGCTCTTTGGAGGCTTTAAACTGTCTTATATCTCACCACCGACAGATCCAACGAGCCACAGAGAAGATTTAAATGCAAATTATCGAGAGTCCACCAATATCTCTCAACGCTCTCTCTCCCCCAATGAATGTTAAAATAAAGTTTTCCTTGCTATGAGAGCGCAGCTTGTATTAAAATTAGCTGAACGCTGGGTCTGAAAACGAATCAGTAACTCCTCTTGTGCAGAAGATGAAAAAGTTCCAACAAGACAATCCCAAGGGAAAAATTTCCAAAGTCGGAATGAGTTCTTAAAAGGTTTAAACCACAGGCTGAAGGCGAACGGCGGAAACTAAGTCTGAGGATTGAGGTGCAAACACAGATAGCTGTAGCTCAGGTCAGGTCAGATCACATCATTCTGTGGAGGTGTCATGAAAATTTCATTCATTTTGAGGACATCAATACTTTTAGCCAAATTCAAGAGCCCTTTGATATCTAACATGGAACTTACTTTAAGCTCTCTGCACTGCGAGACGCCTAGATGGCTGAGGTGCGCTGTTGTGAATTCGGCGCGGGAAGAGTGGAGATGCTTTATCTGTGCTTTGTGCAGTTGTAAAAGCTGTAAACCTATCAGAACATCGCTTTGAGGACTGTGTAAGCAGTATTTGCTGAAACGCTATGACAGAGAATAACACCTGATTGGAGCTGAATCACCTCCCGGCATATTATAAAGAGATTACTGGACTTTACGGACTCCATTCAACACCACATTATTGAACCTCTACTAGCAGGCTATGAATGTCTTTCTTTTGGAGAGTGTGTTAATCTCATTCGGTCTTCTAATACGTCTTCGAGTAAGAGACAGATAGAAGTAGTAAATTCATAGAATTCGAGAACAAAATTTTAACTTTGGAGTTTTTCGTTGCAAGAAATCTACTTCCTCATGATCTGGGACTCTCATACGGAGACTTATTACCTTCAAAGTGTATAAATAAATTCCACAGCTTACCTTGAATGCGAGATGACTGCCGCCTTTGGCAAGCCCGTCGTGCCCGAAGTGTAAATATACATCAACTTATCATGATGATGTGGACGATGAACACCGACAGGCAACTCCACATCCCCCAGAGAATATAAAATGGTAGTCAAATCTGTAGCATCCGGACGCACCGGTTCACTCAAATCATTATTGAATTGATACAACTTTGCTGGTATCTCATTCCCCACCTGCGCGACAGAGTCACAGAAATCCTCGCCATAAATAAGTGCTGAACATTTAGCCACATTAATACTGTGCCGTAGAGTGGGACCCTTCAAATTGGTATTGATGAGCGCGGTAATAACACCAAGTTTCGAGAGACCCAACCAAATGGCAACATATTCCGGGCGATTCTCCAACAACAAACCAATAACATCACCCCGCCTGTAGCCGTGCTTGTGAAAGGTGGCCGCAATGCGATTTGAGAAATCATTGAGCTGACGAAATGTCCAACGTTGCGAGTCGCTGATGATAGCCAACTTGTTGGGTTGTTTGCGTGCATTTTGCTCGAATATATCACCAATGGATAAGTTTTTACGCTCGTAGCGTTTTATCAGTAGCAGCAGTTTTATGTAAGCCCAGAGCGCGCTGGGAATATTCCACAGAAATATTAGTGAAATGTGAAGAGACGAATAGGAATAGGAGTACTTACGTAAAATCCCGCTTGGCTGTTACAGCGGCTATAAAGAGCCAACGCCAGCCCAAGGTAAGCAACATCAGTGCGAAAAGAGCCGCAAACATTGCCGTTAAACCACTCATCCAGCCCAAGTAGTGCCAGAGCAGTGTGGCAACCGTTGCTGTGGAGCTAATTTTGAGTATGATAACAATGATTTCCTTCTTCTCAGCGAGCTTGCTGCAAGCGGTGCGGCCTTGACGTGTGCCAAAATTTCGGTAGCCCTTTTTTGCGTGACCACCGTAGGGTGCCAAGTAATGATTTTCCTCCGGAATTTCTCTCAGCAAATCATCGCCATCAATATCTATGGCGATATGATTTTTATTTCGTTGTAGTTGTTGTTGTTGTTGCCTTTTATTATTATATCTAATATTTTCACACGCATCCCTATGCTCTGAGGATGATTCGCGGCTGTGTAATTGTTGATAATTATTTCGGAGTTGATTGCAACGCCAGCTCTGTTCGTTATCATTTAACGGTTGCGTGGCGCCAGTGGTCTTAAAAAAGCGATAACCGTATTTTTGATATTGCCTCACATTGAAGTGTCGTCATAATAGAAATAACGGTGAACGTGTTTGCATGTAATTTGTGCGAAAAATAAAGTTACGCATTAGCATAGTTAGAGAGAGAGAGGGGAAGCTTAGAGGGTGTATTGGCGCAGCAGATCCAGCGGCACCTTGTACGTTGTGCGTAAAACCGATTAAACTGTTAATGAATATGTATGTACGTGTATATCTAGTTCTCTGCTATGCACACTAAATATTTTCACAATAATTAGCGAAATTTTTCTTGTAAATACACAGTTTTAATTTTTTAAGAAAAAACTTCTTTCTGCCCAACGAAACGAATGAAAGTGATTTATAATGTATTTAGGACGAATCTAAACAGCTGTGTGCAAGCGTGCACTGCGCATGCATGCGATTTCTTCTGAGCAGAGCTTAAAAGCTCGTTTGTTTTGAAAGGACACAAGATGAAGCACAGGGTGGTGCATGTGAAAGGAAATTCACTTAAAACAGTTTACGGTTGCCATAGACAAGTATCTTAAGTTTGAGTGGATTTCAGGTCTCAAATTTAAATGGCATTAAAACTAAAAAATAAATAAATATTGAAATTCGAATCTATTCACGAGAATCTTACAGAAAGGGTGTTTTTGTGCAGCAGAGTTAGTAATTTGAATAATTTTCCGATCGGTTTCGCACCACGTTGACTTTGGTGGGCAATGGAACAGAAAATTGAAGAAGATATGCATGTATCCATCCGGCATAGCGCGCAAAACATCGAAAGGATGGAGACAGTCGGCAGAGACAGCCGAACCGTTGACGATTGCGTGAGCCACATTGTACGCTTTTTCATTCCCTTTTATATCCGTTTGACCTGGGATCCAAGTGATATTCACTGTGCTTTACTGTACCTTAAGAAGTGCCAACAAACTCTGCTTGAAATTGACAATTATTGTCATTGAATGTGAAGTTTCGTTCCATATTGGCCACAAAAGTACTGTGTACCTGTGCATGCCTCTCACTTAGATCCATCAGCGGTGATTAAAAGAGAAATTTTAAACTTGAAAATACCAAAATAAAAGAAGGAAACCCTAAGTGTGGTTAATTTTATCCTCCATCCGGTGACACTAGTTGTCAGTCTATTTAATTGTAGACGTGAAGTACAAGGCTTGCACTTTTTATGATTATTTTATAGGCTCGGCAGCTCGGCTTTGATGAAAATTATACCAAGATTTTCATTCCGCACATCCTTTGATTCGTGTAGTATTCTCATGCCAATTGGATTAGCTATGAGATGCTTAAAATAGTGTTTATTTTAAGTATGCATGTATATCAATTGAATTCTGTGAGTTCCAGTTGATAGTATAACTAATATCTTCGACTTTCCGGTATGGTTTGGGTTGCTAGTTTTATAGAAAATCTCTCTCGAAAGTTAATAGCTTTTACACACTTCGACGTAAAAAAGTAGTTTTAAAATTATGCTCTTTTGCTCTTCTTTACCGACGTAGACCCTGCTTACGCCATTATAGCCGAGCTAACAAATGCACGTCATTCTATTCGGCTTTTCACTCTTTGGCACCAATTGGAAATAGCCGTACTGTATTCTTATCCATTCGGACTATAGGTCGCCGTCTCTTAGTTCGTTGAGCTGCATATATATCCCAAAGTCGCCGAATATATCGAACAACTCACCATTCTATAGGCTGCGGTATTTATCTTTTGCCAATCCGCAAATTTCCATAAGTCTTACGCAAAACCTTTATATCGTAGAGATTCGTCTTTCTTCTTCGAGAGGGGACTTTAATTTTCAATTCCCTACTCAGTCCAAAGCAGCACCTGTTGGCTAAAGTGATTCTATGTTAGAATATCTGTTCGATGGCAGGAGAATTTTCGTTCCGCCCTTATTCATAATTAAACCCTTATCCTTGGCTTTCTTATCTAATCTAAGGAAAGCAGAACTCACTCAATATCAACGGCGTACGTCAACAGCTATATGTACTTAGCTTATATTCGTGGAATTTGGCTTCATCTTGTTCAAACAACATTTTGTCCGAATCGTGTTTTTTACTTGCAGTCCGAAAATGTATTGGTTATCATACGATCATAACGGTCCTAATCGACTGTTTACCAAGTAAGTTTAAGTCACACCTCCAGACGACTCAAGAACGCACCAGGTAGTATTGCTTATTGAGTGTCTTCAATCAGTTGAGCATTCTCGGAGCCTGAAATGTGACAATTTTGCTTGTTTACATACATATGTCCCGAATGAGAAATGTGCCTCCTATGAAGAAGAAAGGTTTGTTCGAAAAATCTCCGTCCACTGCTTGTTGTTCAAGCACCCTATGGTCATCTAGCTTCAGTTGTTTTGTGAGCTGGACTTAGAATGTAGGGGCAAGTCCAAATGCAAAATACCTCATGAGTTGCCAAAGAAAAGTTCCAGTCCATGAAAGCGTCGAGAAATAGACACATTTGGGTTTTCGGCAACACGTTTGCTTACAAAAGCGATATTTGGATGAACAGATTTTTTTAGCGATCCAGTCTCTTCAAATTTATTGAAAATCGTACCAACTTCTTGTGTTCCATAATCATTTCCACAATAATCTTCTCTTAAATTACGAAATGTGGCGTTTGAATCACAATTTTTGTTGTTGGTTGAAGCATTTTAGCGCGTTGACCGACCGGTCCATACACATAAAGGTCTGAATTCAAACTTAAAAGAACGTGTTGTGCTTGACAGTTAAGTTTGATGTCAAATTACTATTCTATGCAGTTGAAACCGCGAAATGCATAACCCTTCAGAGAAGTTTATTTTGGAGCAAAATTTTAGAAATTATGTATATTCATATATATGCTAATGGCAACCACGTTTGACACTAACTTTGCTGTGCAGACGCAAGCTTTTGCTTGACAGCCTAAAAGTATGCCACAGAAAATTAGTGAAATTGTGCAGCAAATTACCGTATAAAATTTCAAATAACATAACTAAAATATTATATGAACGAGTATATCTATGTATGAAATAAGTAAATAAAAAAAAAATCATTTTTTTATTGTCCAGCAAGCAAGCGCAATGGCATGCCAGAAATGCGAAGTGACCGCTTAAAAGCCCTTCTTCAGCAACGAAAGTGAAAAGCTTGGTCAAACAATGGCAGGAAATAAATTTTTTTACACACTCAAAGGTTAAAAATTTAATAGCAAAATTTTGGAGATGTACTTATGTATGTACATATGTATGTATGCATGCGTAGATTTTTTCAGAGTTAATGACCGGCAGACCTGAGGTGTTAGTTATGCGGACCTGTTAGTTTATTTGCAGCCACTAATTTATTTGTTGCAAGTCACTAATCATTCACACTTCGATGTGTTTTTTGTTTTACTATTTTTTTTAACTTTGTGGAAAATCGTACGAAAAATGGCAAAGCAAATTAGGCACAATTGGCAAGATGAAGGCAAGTTTGATGGAAAAACCTTTCAAAGAGACCTACTACAGGCTTTAATGTGGGAAAAGAAAATTTATTTGACCAACTCGCGAGCTCTTTTGTCAATTTGTTGACTTATTACCTCAGTGCTGATGGAATGAAATGAGCTGTCACTAACGAAACCAAAGTAGTGGACAACAGCATCAGGTACGCAACCAAAGATAATCCCATGCAACAGTTTTACCTGGTGAAATCACACACTAATGCATACATAAATACAGGCAAACATACTCGTCTGTAGGTATTACAAATTCAGTTAAGGCAAACGGACACAAACAGTTGAACATTTTATGATGCATATGTACAATATACTACGAATGCATTAGTCGACATATTTATGTATGTACATATATTTTTGCATGTACTTACTATATATGTATGCACGTACATATGTGTATATGTAAATGTCTTCAAACAAAAAGCTTGTTACGCTTCACTACTTATTAAAGTAAACATTGAAATACCTTTCGACATATACGTACTTACATACATACATATACAATTGTCTGTAATATGCAGATCTGGCATTTAGTGTAGGAAGATAATTGAAGTAGCAGGCGATAATGTTACTGTCAACAAAAATTCAAAAATTACATAATAACAATTCAGGTATGAACAAAGCAAAATTTAGAAGAGAAAGAAAATTAGCAAAAAAAAAAAAAAAATAGTAAAATAAAATATAAAAAAAAAAAAATTATTATAAATAAAAATTTTATTGCTCAGGCGTGCTAACGGTATTATTTCAATTTCGCAAGCAAAATATACGTACATACATGTATAGTGTATATATCTTGAAAAAACTCTTAATGGCAGGTGTAGACAATTAAATCATACAAGGAGACATGTACAGTCGAAGTCAAAAGTTTAAATACACTTATAAAATTTCATTTTTTTAGAAAAATTAAGCATTTTAGAGTAAATCTAAGAATGCTCTTTATTTAAAGTAAATATTCAGATATTTTTCCAAAGTTTATTTGCTGGTTGAAGCCACCATAGCAATTTTTTGTGCCAATAACTCCGAAATATGCTCAGTGGGGTTCAAGTCTGATGATTGCTGGGGGAATATAAAGCTGACGAGGAGCATAATACAATAGTCATTCCTTCCCCAAGCCCGCTGTATGGTTGGGTCTTTGGTCTTGTTGAAATATCTACGAGCTTCCGAGATCTAAGAAATTCACGGAAGACTGCCTATGTCAACGCAAAATACTTGTGTAAACATATATGTTCATTATTCCATCGATAAACGTTAAATGTCCTACGCCAGTTGCTCCAATCGCTCCACAAACCATGACGCTACCCTCACCGTGCTTAACGATTTGGATTAAATTTCGGGTTTGTTAAGCTGTCATTGCTTTATGCCAAATTTTTACGCCGCCAACTCTTCCGAGCACGTTAAATTTCGTTTCGCCCATAAACAGGAGTCTTCTCCAAAAAGAATTCATCCATATCCTTGTATTTATTTGCAAATTAAAGACGGAGTTGTTTATTTCTCAGATATTCGAGACTTTCTACGTGGAACACTGCTTCGATAGCTGTCTTCCCGTAAAGTTCTTCTATTCTCTGTCTT